CAGTATAAACCATATTACACTGTTTGTACCTTGTACAGAGTCCAGGAAACCGATGAAAAGATTGTAAAAAACGCAGGTAGGAAGATAAAAATCACAAAAAAGTTACTTTTGCAAAAATTGGGGCCTTCTGTGGGGTTAAGTCAAAACACCAATTCACGGCATCAGACACGCGCACGAAAAAAACTTACTATTTTCTTAAACGTCATGTTGTTCGTTATTTAAAATTTGTCATAGATCTCCCGTACTTGCGTGACGGTCAACGCTGGGTTGATGGCAACTCCCATTCGTCCTTCCCTCGTATTCTTGCCACCTCCATAGAAATTTTAGTTTGCCAAATGGACGGGCTACTTTTCCGACAGGAAAGATTGACAGTGCGAGTGTTGTAGGTATTTCGCCACGACTTAAAGTGACTCGCAGGCTATACGTTCGCTCGGAAACGAAGTTGTGCCAGTGACTTACGAGCTCTCGAGGTGGCAGCGAGGGGCGACCTTAACAACCGTGAAGTGAAACAATTACAGTCGTCACGTGTTTTAATTTCAGTGCACTATGTGTGTGTGTGTGTGAATAACCGTACAATGCCAGAGTGTGATATTGACAATTAGTCACATGCAAAAAAAAAGGCAGTAGAATTCCATTCAAGCGGATGGATAAATATTCGAGAAGAAACAGTTGAAATGAGGTTGGTGTGAAAAGAATTATGTGTTATAAATATCTAGTTTTTGTTCTTTCTTAAAGTGTTTTTTGTTGTTGTTGTAAAAGTCAAGGTTTCTACGTTACCTGAATAAGATAACGCAAGGCAGTCCAATACATTCCGTTACATGGAAATTTCTTTTTGAGTGATCTGTGAGAAAAATATAGACTTTCCATGAAAGAAATGTTATCATACTATATTAGAGAGGATCAGTCTCCTATGAATACTTTGCCTATGATAATTCTATTGTAGTTTAACACTTAATAATTAAAACTTACAGCAAATTAGACTGTATACATGATCCCCGCTTAAAGTATGTGAACAATTTGATGTAAAAAATATACATGATCCCCGCTTAAAGTATGTGTACAATTTCATGTAAAAAGTCATAATTAATCTTGCGTTAAAAATTTCACCATTCTGCCTATATCTTTACTGTAGGAAAGTTTGTTCTCATAAACTGACTTCCAATTCGAATAATCTGCTATCAGCCACTTTCCACAACGTTTAGATGCATTAGCCGCAAATCAGTCGTGTAGTCACTTGAAATAAACAATTTTCTCAGTGCCGGTAGCTTTAAATAGTATCAGACGTACTCTGCTAGTTGCCATGCTAATAATCAGTGTTGTAATCCAGTGAACGAAACAAAATACAGTCGTGGGGGCTTTCCAACTACCTCACACGCACAAAACAGTGGACAGTCCTAAGCCCATTGTTAATCCCGGTGGCATTAAGCTACCTCTCTCCCCTCTGACGTAATAACGCGGGCGAAACAGAAGAACAAGTGTTAATTAACTCATTTTAAACTCCACTTGAAAAGCGCTGAAGACAATAATTACTCCATCCGTTGTAGGGCGATCAAAATACATCGTATTATTATCACAAAATTCATAAATAAATCAATAAACTTCAACTCACCTCCGATAGAATCCCCCCTCACTCTTTAAAGCCGCTGAAATAGCAGTCACTTAAGAAAAACTAATTGCGAACTTCTTATATCCTGAGTTCTACTCCTGTTACTGGTTCTTAAACGAAATAGATACAAGTAAGAAAGTACCATCATTCTAAAAATTTTCAATTTCCACGCACTGAAACACAGAAGTGTTTCGAAAAGATCAAGTGGTATCCCATACTCGTAAAATAATAATAAAAAGTCTTAAAATTTCCCCCACCTCTTGTAATCATCTCGTCAACCCCTCCCCTCTCAGTCGGAAATACCCCTTAGTAGAAAAACACATATCTGTAGTTACACACGCATGCGCAGAACGTTTATATAGTTACTCCTAATATACAAAACCAGAGAGGATCAAGACACATACAGAGCTGAAGACTTTTTAACCTGAAACCTCCTCCCATATTCCCCTCCCCATTCCTCCCTTTCTGAAATTCTCTCTCCATTAACCCTCCATCTCTCTCTTCTCCTCCCTGCTATACCCCTCTCCCCACCCTCTCCTTTTTGCACCTCTGTCTCTGTCTAACATTCTGTTCCCTCTCACATCGACAACAGGGTTGAAGAATCCAACTGCAAGTACCCAATCAAAGTTTGACGGACCACGGGGATTGGTGGTTGGGTTTTCAACCAAAACGGCGAAACTGGTGCGAGCGGCCGTGATGTCCTCAAACAATTGTCGGTGGTATCCACGTCAACAGCGAAGCTACTGGAACAATCTCGGGCGTTAGACAGGGCGCGTGTCCTCGTCATCATTTGGCGACGGCGTGGTAAACTACTAGTAGTCATGGTGGTGGTGGTGGAAAGCTAGACACCCCCCCAAGCCCCTCACGGTTTTTTTTTCCTGAGTTTAACTTGAGGGTGGTTTGTGTGAGACTATCCCCCGCGTGGCCTGACAGACACTGGTGGTTGGTAGCAGTGAAAATTTCAGCGAGTTCACATAAGTCACCATATTGAGCGACGGAGACAGAGAAGTGTCAAAGTGAGAAAAGGGATTTTGTCAGAAACAGCAGACGATCGGTAACAGTAGCAACATCAACATCAACCGAGGCGGACATACAAGTTCTGGTTATCTGCTTGATGTTGCAAAGCGTAGGGACGGAACGACGTAAAGAGAGACAGACATCACCTCTCTGCGCTCTCCTCTCTCCCTCAAAACTTTTTCAGCAGTGCTCTTCCAGTTGTCATCATATAAAACACGTGATTCGGGAAGACATAGCGGCTCAGTGCTTGTTGGAACGTTGCGGCCAGTGGTTGGCCAGAACAACTCGGTAGGTCCTCCTCTTCAACAATCCCTTTTAAGAGATATATATACAAAAGACCTATCATAAACATGATTGTCATCAGTAAAGAGCAATGCTGCAATTTATACCGAAACCACTTGACAGTAATTGCAGCTCATAAACTACACGAAGACATCTTTACGAGCCACGTGGTCCTGCTACGTTGAAGAAAAGTCGTGGAGGAACAGCGTCTACTGCTTTTATCGTACAGCGTGCGTGTGCTTATTTGTTTTTAACTATGCACTTATAAAGTGGCTTTTAAAAGTATTTAACATGAATGAATAGACAATTTATATCAAAATGGACTCGATGTACTGCGGTGATTTAGTGAAGATGATCGTAAGTCTGCTCTATTAAAAGATTCATCGCCGAGTTGAACTTCGTTAGTCTGTTGTTACTAATTAAGCAATAGTATTTTATTGGTTTGTCGGTCAACAAACTTACCAGAATCGTAAACGTTGGTCCATATGTTACTGCTGCTACGTAAATGTGAGTGTTGTGCTTTAGTCCGATTTTGATCCTACACTTGATAAAGAGACGTACTGTTAATAACTGCGGCTAATTCGTACGAACATAAAATAATTATTCCCCACAATAGTTCCTACGCGTGATATTTGTTTGTGGTTCGTATCTGAAGTAAAGACATTTAATTGCTTTTCTGTGTGTTGAATGAAAAATTGTCGTGACTTATATCTTTAACTTTATCGCTTTCCCTGCAAGAATAAACACCGAGAAAGTTCTTGTAAGCAATTTAAAAAAAAAAAACTTACGCGTGACACAATGAGTTCTTACCAGTTCGTAAATTCTTTGGCGTCTTGTTACGCGAACCAGGGTCAAGCCCAAAGACCAGGCGCTTCCCCGGTGAGTGCCCAACACCCTGCACCCGGTCAGGGGCAGGCTCCAGACTACTACAACCCCAATGCTGGTGCGACCGTCTCGTACCCACCCACCTGCTATTCGCCTCAGCAAGTTTCCGGTCACCATACCCAACACTACCCTCAACATCCCTACGCTGCCAGCAACGTGGCAGCATCTCAACACATGCAGAATGGAGGTGGTGCAGCCTCAATGGTGGACTACACCCAGCTGCATTCATCCCACCCTCAGAGGCTTGGGGGTGGTGCAACTGTGTCTCATCTCCAACAGCACTCTCATCATCACAGCGCAAGCAATGCGAGTCCTGGTGCCGTCACCCCTCCGCTAGGGGTGGTTACAACACCTGGTGGATCTCTTCTCAATAACAACTCGGTCGCGAGTAATAGCAGCTGTAAGTACGCGGACTCAACGTCTACCACAGGGGTTAGCTCTCCACAAGATCTGAGCACAACTGGGCCAGGACCTCAAAGAAGTAGCCCGCCGATATCGGCGGCTCAGCAGAGCTCCAACCCCAACGTGTCTGGAGGGAAATCGACAGTAACTTCACCGGCTTCTGCTTCGAGTGTGAACAGCACGTCTGGAACCGCCGTGAGGGGTACTGGGTCGTCATCGGCTACCTCTCCGGCATCCACGGGCCCGCAGCAGGCCACTGGGTCTACGACGGCGTCATCGGCTGTTTCTCAAAGTTCCTCGTCGCCTGCATCTTCAACTTCTTCTACTTCTAGCACGACGGGATCGACAAATAACAACAGCAAGCAAGGAGGAGGGTCAACGTCTAACAATCCTCCGCAGATCTACCCCTGGATGAAAAGGGTGCACCTCGGACAGAGTAAGTCCATTAACTTCTTAAAGCACTTTAAGTTTCTTATTTTGCACCTCGGACAGAGTAAGTCCATTAACTTTTTAAAGCACTTTAAGTTTCTCATTTTGTCAGTAGCATTTGATTGTGTCTGTTGTAGTTATCAACCGATTTCCAAAGATTATGTGAGTTAGGATTTATGCACTCGTAGATTATGGAAAAATATTACATTTTCGTTTATTGAATATAGTTGTTAGGTATTTGTGCGTGCATGTGTTAGTTTTAACTGTGGCTGGGAACAGAAAAGACTTCGCAATTTTCGTAAAAATATTTGGGGCGGCTATTAAATTCTGAACACGTACATAAACCATAAGTTATAAGACGCTGAACCAACAGAACTTTGTCTATCCGTTTGTCGATTATCTTTGTGTTAATTTGAGTAATTATAAAACAGATTTACTATTTTGCCATTCATATTCAAGACCAAATTTATCTTACTCTGTTTTTAAACTCGAGAGTTATACTGCAGAGAACAGTGCTCATCAGCTGCAATTTATACCATTATTTGTATGTCCAGTTTCTAGTATCTTACACATAATGCATAACATTGCCAATAAATCACACGTTAACAGAAGGATGTATTTATGAGGTAATGTGCTTCTAATTCGATATGTCAATTCTTGTTAGCAATATTTATACCAAAACTTACTCTAAATATATTCCAGATTTTAAAGGTTTTTAAGTCGATACATTTATCTTAGACAAGTACATTTTCATTATTGTACAGATAATTCTCTAGGAAATTTTGGCATAAATGTGTAGACAATAACGATTTGTAAAATAACTGGACAGTGACTGAAGCAAAATATAATTTGTTCGACTAATCCTACTGTCCATTCCATTCCATTATGACTACAACACAGCAACCAAATTACACAGGTCTTTCTAGGAAATAGTATGAAGACTAAGGCATGTGGGGACCTGCGGTTGACTTAACGTCACAAGCAATTTGTGAATATATTTTTTCTTTCGTTCCCAGTAGGCTCATCTGCCTTATCAACTGATATAAGTTTTGTTGTTACATGAGCAAAAATAACGCGTTCGTTGAAAGTCTAGCAGGTCTACGAGAACCTAATGTATTCATGCCATAAACTGCTGTCTGCTACTGTTCCATACTTCTCTCTTGCCAAAATTTGTCATCCAGATGGGCAGGTTTATGTAGCACAAAACATGAGCACACCCTTCAATGCTCTTGTTATTTAAAACAGTGGTGTAACGTGATTTAGGATGCTGGGGACGAATTTCATTATGAATCAGAGTCTTAGACACATATTTCAGAATTTGTAAGGATAAATTCGCTCCTTGAATTGTTGACCGATTCAAAATTAAGAGAAACATTAATTTAATTTTATTTATTTTCTCATAATTTCTCAATCTACATTCCTTTCACCTTTCCTTCTTTGATAAGCTTTGAAAAGTACGAACTAAAAACTGGATGAGATTTCAGGTTCTCTGTCTTCTGTGTTATTGCGCTGTGTTGTCTGGTAGAAGTGTGCCGACGTTTCAGGTGTGTTTGCTGCCTCCATCATCACGGCAGTCGTAAACTTATACCAGACTACACGGCGTAACAACCCAGAAGACAGTCTTTTTCAAATTACGATCCGTATTTCTCACTCTAACATAGAATTTCAAAAATTTCTCGTGCCCATTTAGGCATTAGGGCAGCAGAACAAAATTGCTTCAGTTTTTCTATTCACAAAGACCCTCTCAATATCTTAGTTCTGACAACTACGTTTTTATTGTTTAGGGGAGAACTGGCGGTCTAGAGGTTAGAACTCCTGCTATGCATTCAGTAGGTCCAAAATACAAGTCTCTACCTGGATACTGGCTATCATCAATGAGGTTTTCTTTAGACCTTACAGGCAAATACCTGGATAGTATGGCTGTCTTATATTAAGCCACGACCACTTCCATTCATATATTTTTAATTCGCTATGCATTAATCATCATAATTACTATCTGTGAGATGCTGACAGTGTCGTTAAAGAATCCGCAAGTAAATTAAATAAATTTACCTCGTAGAATTGTTTTGGAATATGCCCCTTCGCTCTTTTACAGAGTTGACGGGATTAAATACGTAGGGCTATAAATATTCTGACTTCATTTTGTGGTCATTATAGAATTATGAGCACCGGTTTCGGATACGACAGCATTTACAAATATTTCTTAACTAACCCTTTAAATCCCTGTGGCAACTCTGTGTACCACCCACTGTTTTAATAACCACCAACTCTGAATTTTTACGCAGATTAGTTTTATGACTTAATTATGATTGTCAGAATATGCAGTGATTATTTCCTTAAACATCATCAAAAAAATTATATCTGTAATAAAGAAGAATTTTGATTTCATTACATCACGGACTGAAGTTTTAAATGTTGTGTAGACGAACTTGCATTTCGAAGCACTGTCATCACTTTACAGTGTTTCCAAACCGTGATGTGATAAAAAACATTCAAATTTCATGGACCTCTCACACTTAAAACTGTTACAAATTCTAATCGACTCTATTATACAAATACTTTTATGAGAAAACAATATTTCCAATGCAATTTTATAACGCTATAGATAAAATATATGGTGTAGTGTTTAGTTCAAAATCCTTCCAGAACCTTTTGCATACACGTGTAATTCATGTGTGAAATTCGTTCGAAGACTGCTATGTGAAGTGTCTCAGAATAAAGATAACAGGTGGGTTGAACCTGATTGTTGTAACAATATATTATATACTGTCTCAGAATAAAGATAACAGGTGGGTGGAACCTGATTGTTGTAACAAGATATTATATAGAGGCCTGCAAACTCACAGTCCAGAATTAATCTTCAATGTTTAGTACGTAGGAGAAATTTGCAAATTGCATGTAACAAATAACTGCATACTGGTACAGTTCTATGTATCAGAAGCCTTGTGCTTAGAATTTATAAAGAATTTCAGAATCACATGCTTATATTCCATTGTAACAATATTTTAGAACTATATATATATTGCGTAATAAATTAATCTAGTTTACCGCTAATTTTTGCCATTATCTGCATACTGCCTATAATAAAATCATTTTCATATAAGCCTATCTTATAAATTCGAAAGTTTCAATTCGATTTATAGTAACAATGGATTTATTTCTGAAATCTATAAAGAAGTTTACAGGAGCTTTTATCGATATTTATATATTATTACGAAAAATATTCTGTTGTATCAAAGTTTCAGTTTTGAAGCCTAATTTATGTGGGGGTCATTCCATGAACGATCCATTCCGCTGTTCCTCAACCCTACTACTCTCTCATCTATCCTCTCGTTTTTCTCTTACCGCCTTCCGCTTAGATGCGTTACATTTTCAAAGGTTAAAACCACTGTCTGGTAGCGATTAATATGCCATTCGTACCATTTCGTACATCTTCTGTCAATATGCCTCTAATTAATTTCGATCCGTAAAAAATATGATGTTATTTATGAGTTGATATTTGTACGAAGGATAATAAAAACGAACAAATTGCATTTCATGAGCCTCGTCCTCGTTTGCTCTTTGTCAGTACTATATAATGTAGTAACTAGAAGGACAAACCAGCCAGTGAGTGTAACGACAATTAATAATGCATGCTAATTTCCGACCTTCTACTCACACATAGGGTTCAGTACGAGACGCAATGGAGCTAAGTGGATCGAAATGCGTTTGTGTGTATGAAACAGTCAGTTCCCAATCAATTTGTCTACTCATTAGAGACCACAGAACGTCCAGTTGGGTCTGTAAGCTAGAAAGAAAAAAGTTTTCTAACAAAGTAGACTGACGCACACTACAACACGGATTGGAACAAAAAATACGAAAAAGTATTTTCTTACTGGACATGGTCTTATTTACAAGAGTAGTTTTAAATATTGATAGGCCTATCACATGTAAGTAAAATATATCACAAATCTGCTGCTACTGTGTTCAGATTTCGTAATTTGATCCCCCAAAACGTAGATTAATATTGTTAATAATTTTCACAACACAGAGTGTCTATTAAAGTCATGATTATATTTAGATAATATGACCTAGCGGACAGTAAATTAAGTATCTAAGAAGCTTGTTTTCTCAACCAAAAAGAAAATTCATGAAGAAAATTCTGAGGAAGTTACAAGATGATGGAGACTATCACATAATGAAAACCTTAATAATTTTTATATAAAATTGTTGGACTTTGCCATTGTGTTAGTTATAAAATTATAAAACTGCATAATTTCGGAAACTGGATTCTACGCCTGTCTTTGATAACAAAAGCGGGAGGATGACAAAACCCATCTATAGGCACCCCCTGGGCCCCCTCAGGTCTGAGGCTAGCTCAAATAAGGGGCCCAACAGATAGGCTTTCTGTCCTCTTCTCCCTTTTGAACCTAAAGATACAAGCTTCCGAAACGTTCCAGTTTTATAAATTAGACGATGGATAATTTCCAAAAGAACGTTTTTTACACATACAACGCACCATCGTCAGAAAACGTCAAGTTTTGACTTAACAATTGTTACCTCTTTAAGAAATATTTGCTTATTAGGATGATGAAATGAAGGACTACGTGGACAGGGCATACAGAACGCATGGGAAGGATGAGGAATTTATTAAATATTTTAGCTGAAGGTAGGGGACCATGTGGGGAGGCATGTGTTGGTGAGAATATAATACAAGAAACTTAAAGAAATATGTTATGAGCAATGGATTAAACTGGCTTAGGATAGAGTGTTGAGAACCCCGTAACAGTATTTTGGTTTCAACAAAAGGCACAGAATGTACGTATCAAGCAACTACCTAAATATGTAATGACGATGGTTAAGCTTTCGACTACAGTCTTGTAGGTGATTACCATCGTTTTGGAGGAACGTATGACATCCATCGTCACAGGAATATGGTAGTGAACGTTCCACCCTATCTTTGGTTATTACCTTCAAGACTACACGACATCATGTCTAGAAGAGTATAGGCTTAATGGACAAGGGGGA